AGAAGTGAAATTTTGGAAACTGGAAGTAGTAAATTATCCCCCTTATTTCAAACAAAAGTATATAGAAAAAAGTAAAATAACAAAAACACCGAACTCCAAGGGAAATTCAAAACAGAAAGTCCTCCATAAAATGGCAAAATCAACAGCTCAAACACATACAACAAATGGAAAACAACTGTCACACTCCCGACTCCCCACAGACATTTCCCCTTGTAGAAAATGGTGGACCAAACCTTGTTCTATAGCCAGCCAAACCTCTTACTTGTATGACAGTCGCATAGAATTCCATCATATTGACAACAATGTGTGAGCAAAACAAACAGACACAATACATGCAATAGGCATAAACGTAAAAAATTGGGGTACAGCAGTCAACATTGTAATATAATGGTAATCACTATAAAAACAAAAAACTGTTTCAACAAAGAAACACAAAATGGCATATAGACAAAGAACATAGGCAAAAATGAAAGACAGGAACTCAAAATTTACCATAGCACAATAACACAATGGTGGGATGTATAAGTACCGATCAACGTCATAAGGCCAAAATAAATAAATAGTGTGTTTCCGGTTTCCCGACCCTACCTCCGTTTCTGACGCCGACCCTAATCATTTTATTGACAAAAATTAAAAAAAAAAAAAAAAAATCCGGATTTTTCGGTCTGTCCGGATCCGACTATTCGTTTAGAAAACTACAGATCTTCAAACCGTTTGATAGCAATTACCAATATGGATAAGTCAAGTGTTTCAAGAACCAAGATTTTAAATAAACAAGCATGGCTGTTCGACAACCGTGCAGCGTATTAGCTGTCAAATATGCGAAATGTGATCACATGGTTGCAAAATATAATGACATTAATTCCGGATATTTACGATATGATGAATCTTTTTAAAGAACACCATGATGGACCTATAGACGAAAAAAATACGAAGTTGATGCATTTTGCTCAACTTCTTTGCACAGGTACAAGACGAGATTTTTTAAATATTTGTATATATAGTGAATAATGTATTCAGTATATATACATATATTAACAAAATCTCGTTTTATACCTGTGCTTCTTTGGACCAAAAGTCAGAATCGTTTCAGGTTGGACAGCTAGACTGTAAAACTATCTAATTCTGTCGGTTAATTGACAAATAATTTAAGAGTAAAATGAGAAAATTTCTGCTAAAATCAATCCAGCTTTTGTTGTAAAAAATGCTCGTACGAAATTTATTATGTTGTAAACAATTGTTCTCAGGACGCAACATAAATGGCTGTTAATGCTTTTGAGCATTTGACAGTTTGAGTTAATGACGACAAGGGGGCAGACAATGTGTAACGAGAAATATAAAGCTTTCCAAAGTAGGCAGACATGGTGTATGATTCATGTTCATTTATAAATGAATCTGCCCCTGCACCATGTCTACTTTTATTCTTTTAAATTTTCTCTGGCTGGTCCCACAACAGTTTATACTATAGAAAGAAAAAAATTCATGTCTTATTAATATCTACAATTTTTTTCCATAGATTTAATAGGACAAACATGACAAAGATTCTCACTCTTCTCAAAACCTGGAATTTTAATATTGTCAGAACCCCACTCTTCAAGATTAAATTCTGTCACATCAAAACACATCTATTTATTAAATGAAGAGTGTGCAAGTGTATTACCCCTTGAAAAATCATAATAAGCCGCTGCTTAGCATCGATTTGCAGTGTTTTTACTACTAAAAAAAAGGGGGTAGGAATCTGTTCATGTATACCCTGTGTGTCATTTACATTGTTATAGGTTCAACGAGGTTCAACATAATAATACCATGCCCGATTTTTCACTGCCATTTTTGCTTTAAGATAATTAATCGACAAGAACATATTCCTATTACGACCCATGAAGTCCATTAACGAAATTTGAGTGTAATAAGGTGAGTAAATTAGATAAGGTAAAAAAAAATGAATAGAACGACAACATTGAAATGGAGATTTGATTTTTTTCTATCTCTTTAAAGGTTTGATTTTTTTGTCAATTGATTGTTTACCCCACATCTCCTTTTAAAAAATATTTTTAAGCAACTGGTTTGGACATAAGATTTCAAATCAACACAACGGATAAATTTAACATAAAAAACCCAAATAAGACTCATTCATCAGTTGAAAACAAATTGGCAATATCATGTCAAAAAACAAAAAACTACTAAACAGTATACAAAACACAACATAGAAACAAAAGAATGAGCAACATGGAACCCGCCAAAAACTGGAGGTGATCTCAGGTGCTCCGGAAGGGTAAGCAAATTCTGCTTCACGTGTGGCACCCAGGGCCGTCATGTTGCTGAAGTAAGTACAAACCCAGTGATAAGTCTAATTTGGTAGGTCACATTTGAGGCAAGGAGGATCAGATTGTGGTAATATCAACAATTGGCACATATCCATCGTCATTAGCAATAGGCGAAACAGATATTCCATAACGGAAAATCTACTCATGATGTCGACCGTAAATTTTCAATAGGATGATTTCAAGTTCACCACTTGGAATTATTGGTTCAGTAGCTTCCTTGTAAGCAGCAACCATCCATCAAAGGAATGATGATAGAAAATGCAAGCTCTGGAATGTCTTATCAACTGTGAGGTATATACTCCATATGCAGGTGCTGCTGGAATGTTGCTACATAGAAAAGAAAAGTTCACAGTAGGAAGCTGAAATCATCTCTTTTGTCATAAAGTTTTGTTCTTAACCGACCAAGTATGTTGCTATTGATGAGTTTTTAATGACAGATATTGGTATCTTTTTCTAAATAACGGGTGAACTTCCAGGCTCTTGAGATCTTGTTTGTAATTTAAAATTGTCCATGGTACATGACTAGTATCTGGTCTAATAATATTAAAGATGTTATTGTTAAAGTTTTATTTAAAATTAGAGTTATCTTCCATTGACCATAATTGTAGTCTGACCAGGTACAATTATGCAATCTTTACCCTTTAGTGCTCACAGTATGAATTTGTCATAAATTTATTGACCTACTATTTATCAATGAACATGGCTGCCAGAGGAAATAATTGATTTTGTGTGTTCTTTTTTAAATTTCTTTTCTGAAACTACATGGACTACAGGGCCAAATTATGAACACTTTGTATTTTTTTCTACAACACTGTCAATAAAGGGTACTTATTTTATGATTCTCAAACACCGTTTTTCAAGTTAGGCACTTCCTGATATGAAATTGTTTGACAGTTATTTTTTTATATTCTTTTTTTGCTTCAGAGTTTTCACAAAAATTATCAAAAAAGGGTACCCATTTTGTGTAGCCAGCTCCTCCTACCTTTTTAAACCAGGTATTCCAAAGGAAAAATTGTGTTATTTTGATGTTGAAAAATTGCAGGCGCTGTCAAAAGATTCTGTGCAATAACTTATGAACCATTCATATTGATGATTTCACTTTTACAGTTTAGATTAGAAGTTATGGTCCTTGATAGAGGGGGTGGTTTTGTTGTTTCCTTGTGTAGTCGCTGATGACAAAATGAAAGTTCCATATTGACGATTTTCACTTTTCCCATTTAGGATTGTTTGTTCTTCAATGAAGACAAATGACCATTAATCTTAACACAATTTTCAGGTTTATCGTTTCATAGTAAAAATACTTCTAGAATTAAAAATGTGACTATTTGGAGCATGTCTCAAGATAACTCAAATTTGATTATCAGATCATTCAGAATTTTACATGATTTTTGTCGAGCCTGCAACTTTTGTCGCAGAAAGCCCGACATAGGGATAGTGATCCAGCGGGGGCTTTAGCTAACTTCTTAAAAGCTTTATATTTTAGAAGCTAGAAGACCTGGATGCTTTATACCTTGTATATAGATGCCTTATGTTCGAAGTTTCCGTCTGTCATATGTCCATTGTCCTTGACCTCATTTTCATGGTTCAGGGACTACTTGAAAAAAAGTCAACATTTTTTGTAATGTTAATTTCTTTCTTATTATGAGTAATAGGATAACTATAATTAGTATGTGCGTACCTTGCAAGGTCCTCATGCCCGCCAGACAATTTTTATTTGACCTCGACCTCATTTCATTGATCAGTGAACAAGGTTAAGTTTTCGTGGTCAAGTCCATATATCAGATACTATAAGCAGTAGGTCTACTATATCTGGTATATGGAATGATTGTAAGGTGTACATGTCCAACTGGTAGGTGTCATCTGACCTTGACCTCATTTTCATGGTTCAGTGGTCAAAGTTAAGTTTTTGAGTTTTGGTCTTTTTTTCTAATACTATATGCTATAGGTCAACTGTATTTGGTGTATGGGAATATTTTATGGTGTACATGTCAGTCTCGCAGATTTTATTTGACCTTGACCTCCTTTTCATGGTTCATTTCTCAGTGTTAAGTTTTTCTTCAACTATAAGCAATAGATCAATGATATTTGTTGTATGGTAGGATTGTAAGGTGTATATGTCTGTCTGGCAGGTATCATCTGACCTTGACCTCATTTTCATGGTTCATTGGTCAATGTTAAGTATTCATGGTTAAGTTTGTTTCTTAGATACTATAAGCAATAGGTCAACTATATTTAATGCATACATTGATTGTAAGGTGTACATGTCTGTCTGGCATGGTTCATCTTACCTTGACCTCATTTTCATGGTTCATTGGTCAATGTTAAGTTTTCTTGGTTAAGACTGTTTCTTAGAAACTATAAGCTTTAGGTCAACTATGTTTGGTTTATTGAATGATTGTAAGGTGAACATGTATTTCTCTTTTGGTTTATCTGACCTTGACCTCATTTTCTTGGATCATGTTAAGTTTATGTGTTACTTGTAGTAAAGCTTTATATTTAGGACTATCAACATAAAATCAATGGTTAGTAAAGAAGGCAAGACATTTCAGTGTGTGCACTCTTGTATTTCCTTATTGTTTTGTGTTTAAAATATGCACATAATGAACTACTCTTTTTCAGGTTCATAAAACTGGTACTTTTAAAGTTACCTAGCATGAAATTTATTCTCTTTTATAGGTTCATAAAGCTATGTTGGCTGCCACCAGTGATTACTTCAGAGTCATGTTTTCTGGTACAATGGCTGAAAGTAAGCAAGACATGATTGACCTTAAAGGGGTTTCAGCAGAAGGACTTTTCCACATCATTGAATTTATTTATAGTGGAGAAATAGCATTGACCCTTTTGAATCTCCAGGAAGTAGTTCATACAGCTAGTCATTTGCAAGTCATGTCTGCATTAGATCTTTGTAGTTCATACATCAAATCTTTGCTGACATTTGAGAATGCCAAAGATTTTCTGTCCATTGCTAACACTTATTCTTTATATGAAGTTCTTAAGCATTGGCATAATCTGATTCTGTCAAATTTTTATGACTTTGCCAAAACCAAACTCTTTGTTGAACTAGATTCTTCTGATTTAATTGATTACATAAGTGATGATAAGTTGCGGACTAGTTCTGAAAGCAAATTATTTAAGATTTTAGACATTTGGTTTCGTTCTAATCCTAGTAGCATTGCATCAGGTGTTGCATTACGGGTATTAAATCATATCAGATTTGGCCTGATGACGGAATTAGAGCTAAGTACAGTTCAAGAGAGTGAAGTGATCAAACGATGTGTGGGATCTATTCAGAATGTCTTAAAAGGATTCAAATTCCACACAGATTGCAGGAAAGGACATCCTGTTATTGATGAGAGCTGTATAATCCGACATTCTCGACCAGCACTGATCTTAGTTCATTACGGGTCTTCTCATCAACCGTTCCAAATTACTTCATACGATCCAAGAACTGAACAATTTTACAGTTTGTTTTCTGATTTGAATGGAAGCAGAGATTGTCGTATTAATGTGATAGATAATTTTACTTACATTTGTAGCATAGTAGATTTTGGTGGTGGAACTTTGATGAGTTCCACTTTTAGATTTGATCCTAGACATTTAGTTGGTCAGGATCTGCCTCCAATGAGAAAACTTAGACTTGACTTTGCACTTGTTGCTGACAAAGAATGCTTGTATGTGTTTGGAGGAAGCAATGAACAGTATGCTATCTTAGACTCTGTTGAATGTTTCAATGTGAAGACAAATACATGGTCAGATTTACCTCCTCTTCCTTCAGCTGTCCACTCACTTGCTGCAGAAGTTTATGGTGACAAAATCTACCTCTCAGGAGGTGTGTCTAGTCATGATCGTCAAGCAACAAATACATTTATCTCATATAGTCCTGGATCAAGGAAATATGATTCAATGCGAGGGATGTTTTATGCTCGTAGAGTGCATGAAATGGTCGCCTTCAAAGGCAAAATGTATGTATTTGGAGGAATTCCAAGACGAGGTGTTCCCTTGCACGGACAAATTCCTATTGAGTATTATGATTTTGAGACAAATCAATGGAATATGCTTTCATCTACTCTCAGCGGAAGGTCCATTGGACACTACATTGTGTTTGAGAATGAAATTTTATCATTAGGACATGAGCATCAAAATGCTAAGGAGAATGAGATTTGGGTATATAATCCAGACTGTGATAGTTGGAAAAATTATGCGAAAGCACCTCAGCGAGCAAACCTCACTTCAGCAATATGCTGTCAGATGCAAGTCAATTTTGATGACGAAAAAGTTGTTAAAAAGGTTTTTTGAAAGAATAGAAAATCAAAAAAGAAATCATCTTTTATGTTTATTTTTATGCAGCCGTGAATACAGTAGGACATTTTATGCAAAAATTTATCTTTCTGCTGTAATACCTGTTTTTCTTGTTCTCATTCAAAACATAGTAAGCCAGACACAAGCAAAAGTCTGTTGTTTGGAATTGCCACTTGTTAGTTTCCTTTTGAAATTTCAGAAATTTTTGTTATTATTTATGGTCTTAGCTATTAAAAGGGTCATTGGGGTTGATGTGTCGCAAGGGAATACATTTTATATGACAAATGAAAACAACACTTTATTAATTTCATGCTTCTAAAGCATTTTTCTGGATTTACCTTCATCAGGAATGCACAAAGCTAAGAATTTGAAAGCCAGGGATGTATAAATAGGTAGAAATATTAGGAGGTATTTGACCAAAAGGGATGTTAAAAGAATAGTCAAATTCATCTAAGGACAACTTTGCCTGAGGAGGTTGGAACTTTAGTGTCTTAGTTCATCAATTGGGAATTATGAAATAGAATCAATTGTAATATGTTTGTAAATAATTTTGGCATAATTACAAACATTTTATATTTAGATCTGTTGACACCATATTTTAAAGAATTGTATCATTTTGTGCTGAAGTTTAAATATTTTCCACAGTACCCAGCTGTCCTTCTCAAAAGACTCAATGCTCGACTCAATGAAGAGGCATTTAACATTTTAAAGTTCGTACATATCACTCTGGTTAAGACATTAACATGCTAAAAATGAGGATTTAAATCATAAGAGGAAACTTGAAAAAAAACAGTACATTTATGGTTCAGTAAACAAACCGGTACAAAAATCAGTGGCGTAGCTACCTTAGGCTCGACTAGGCATGTGCTTTTACATAATTTTGCCAATTAGAGGTTCCGGAACGGCGGATCTAACACTTTAACATTCTACACAGAAGCTGAGACTACTATAACACTGTGATATAGTAGTCTCAGACAGAAGACAGGTGCTAGGTTTTCAATATGATGGGCATTTTCTTTTTAAACAATATAAGTATTAATCATATTTTATTAAAATGGTCACAGAATCTGACCTGCACCAAGGATTTGTATAGTGTATCACTATACAAATCCTTGCCTACACACAGAATATGAATATGCCTCGATTAAAATGAAAACATTTTTTTTTCTCAATTAATGTGCTGCTAAACTCTGCTTGTTATTTTCTTTAGAAATCTGTTTAGTTACACATTTTTCTCAAACAAACAAACTAAAATTTAATTATATGTCTAGGGCCTAGCCCTTTTACATTGCAACTGTCCAACAGACAACGTTGTGTGTAGTCTATTTAACCTGAGACTACTAGTAGTCTCAGATTTAACGTATACAAACTTGTTTAACCCTGCCACATTCTACACATATACCTGTCTAAAATGATTAATAATAAATAATTAAAGATTTATTTAATGTTGGATATACATATAACTAAGGAATTGTATATTTAAAAGGAATGAAAACGCGGCCGCCTTCAAAGAGAAATGTATGATGCATCTCTGTTTCGCCCCCCAAGGGTGACTGGGGAATAGAAGTATGGTCACCATTGGTCTTCCTCCGACCGGCAGTAAAACCCGTGCTAAAGTGGGGCGTCCGTTTGGCTGTGCGGGATGTAAAAATTTGCAGCCACGTCCGGTCAGAATGGGGACGTTAAATCCGATGCCTCGTGTAAAGAGAATGCCACGCTCTTTGCACGTTAAGAACCCTTACAACAACTTTTTGAGGGGTCCGTAGGTGACCTGTTGCAAGGCTAAATTTCTGTCCCTATCCAATATACCCTCATTTCCCGTGGCAGTCTAAATTTCTCCGACCTTAATCCCTTAATGTATTACGGAACCTACCTATTGTATTTATTGTGAACTTGTTCTCGTCCTGAATATGCATGAAATATTTGCCACTGGACGTTAAGCAACCAACAATCAATCAATCAATCATCTCTGTTTCGGGCGATGTGTTCCAGGGGCGGATTCAGCCATTTATAAAAGGGGGGTTCCTGACTCAGGATAGGGGGGTCCAACTATATGTACCCATTCAATTGCATTGATTGTCAAAAAAAAGGGGGGGTTCCAACCCCATTTACCCAATTACCTACACTTAGATAATACTAGACTAGCTACGCCCATGAAAATGGTATCTGGTCCGTTCGCCCTGATAACATGTCCGTTCGGGTAAGGATCCGATCAATTACGAATGTAACAATAATAGTTGTGTCTGCGGTTACATTGTGTTATTGTTACATTATATGCACTTACAATGTACGCTAGATTTACTAGTCAACTTAAACCTTCTATAGTTTTGTTGCCTATTTGTTTTCGCCTAAAAGAACGAAATTACGATCACAAAATATCTGAAAACACTGATTCCACCAGTTTCAACATGTCGGCAAATGTCAATTGCCTTCACAATTGACATGTATTTTTAAGTTTTATTAAGTTTTATTGGGTTTTTGCTGCTATGCTAAGTTGGATATTGAAATCGGATGTGAACATAAAATCAGTTATGGACGGCAATGAATCATAATACAACCTCACATGCTTCCAACAAAAAATATTGGAAGAAAAAAAAAATTGCAAGAGTATACTGAAAAAAATATTTTTCACATTCATAAATCATGACAGATATTGAAAGTTTCTTTAGCTTCAAAAAGGGATAGTGCAGAATGGAATTGTACAGTTTACAATACAGACATTGCTGCATCATTTGTGTTTGATGGCTGCTTCGAGTGGTTTCACCAAAATTCGTCGGACTAAAACATGCTACCAAACCATATACTGAATTTGTAGAAATTTTTCAATGTAAATAAAATATTGAAAAATTGTATGCAATATAGTAAAATTCAAATAAGAGTTTTCAATTTTGTTTTAAATACGTATTACTAGTCCCAGCGTACATGGAAGTGCATTAATGTAACAATAACGCAATGTAACCGTAGACTCAATTATTATTGTTACAGTCGTAATTAATCGGTTCCTAACCCAACCCTGCATTCAGGAAATTAGTCTCCAATGTAACAATAATATTTTTATTAGTCCCCTACCGACGAAGTCGAAGGGGACTTTAGGTTTGCGCTCCGTCCGTCTGTCCGTCTGTCCATCCGTCAGTCCGGCAAATCAGCTTTCCACACTTTTTTTCTTCGTTCTTGAAGATATTGATTTGATATTTGGTTTATAGTTTTATCATGACAAGTTATAGATCAAATTCGAGTTTTGTTCCGGTCTGATGATTTAGTCCAGAGTTATGGACCATATCTAATGTTAGAGTACTATGTTAAACCATATTTCTGTACAAAGGGAGATAACTCATTTTTTTAAAAGACATTCTTTGTTAAATTATTTGAAGAATTTTTTGGCTGGTTTGTTTGTTATTTAGTATAAGCTAATTTTCTGAATGCTATATATATAAAAAAAAATATGAAGAGAAATCCTTTAATTAGATAATAATCTATTTTTATTAATGTATATATTTCAATACATTACATTGTGTAGATAAAAGTTGTTGACATTTTATAGATAAGTTACAAATCTATATTAGTTTGTGACAAATAAAAGAAAAAATATTTGGAACTATTAATTATATTTGATTATAATTTGAAAATAGATATACACTGTATTACATCATATCTAATTTTAGAGAACTATTAATCATATCTAATGTTTTTTTTTCACTCATATAATCAGTTTTCCACACTGTTTTAGGTCATGCTTGAAGATATTGACATGATATTTACTTTTTGTTTACACCATGACAAGTTATAGAACAAGTTAGCATTTTGTTCCAGTAAAATGAATTTTTACCCGGTAGGGGACTATGTATTGCAATGCAATACTCTCAGAATGCTTGTTATTGTTACATTTCCATGTAACCGTAGCCAGTGCTTATCAATAAAGATAAGTACATTGTTGTATTCCAGTATTCTACTATGCAAATCGAATCATTATTTGGTTGCAGCAATACAAATATTCGGCGAATTTTTCAACAAACTTTAACATACTCTGTTCAAATAATAAACATTATGCAACTAGACAACTATAAAAAAAAAAAAATACAGGGCGAACAGGTACTAGGGCGAACGTGAATCAGGGCGAACGGAACCAGATTACCTGAAAATGACAAATACTACATCTTAGTGGCCTTAGTTTATACACACCCATCATATTCTGTAGCATTTTTGTTTGAACATGATTTCTCTATTGTTTATGTTAATGAATTTGTTATCAATTTTATCATACAAAGCACAAATATGGGACAACATTGAACAATCCTACAAAAAACGGAGAAATTATCTGAACAAATGTCGCAGAATTATTGGCGTAGGGATGCATTGTTCAATTAACCGTGAAATCATTCAATTGTTAAGTGGAACAAATTTTGGCATGTGAGCTATTGCCTTCACTTGACAGTCGTTCTCGTTAGCTCTTTGAAAAATCTTCGCTGAAACCACGACCAATTTTAACCTAACGTTAGCCGTAAGATCCTTAGGGTATCTATCTAGTGTAAAGTTGTGTTTTTTTTTTGTTCCAGCTAATCTACAAACATGGCCTTCAAGGCTGAAAATAGAATACAAGGGTAAAATGCATTAATTACGTAATTTCTTGTAAACGAGGAAATCTGACGGGGGTAAAAATGCTCAAAATGATGTCAAGATGTACCTTCATATTTCCACCAAAATGATTAGATGACTCCTTATAGGATCAGATTTATTGCCGTTAAAAGACGATTTTTTACTATATTTTTAGTTTTTGTTTATTATCTTAAAAATTAAATAATAGAAAGGTAAATACTGTAAACATGAAAAAATTATATCAGCAATACCAGATCTGCATAATGCCAATATAACCGAAACCATTGGATGAATCCTTATAGGAGTTATTACGAAGACGTTGTTTGACTAATTTACGAGATTTTGCCTATTACTTGAAAATTATAATATATAGCAAGAGTTTGTATAGATCTTACAATATAAATCCTTGTATAAAGGTAGAAACTGTG